CTCCAAGACCTGAACCGCCGTAGGACTGCCCACATCGACGTTAGACTTTACTTATTATTACAGAAAAAAGTCTAACGGTGTGATATCATACGAATTTGGTGGCCATTCGACCGGCTCAAAAACAGGAAATTATCTGCTCAATGAAGTGTTCTTTCAACAAATTCCTTGATTGGCGCGATATATGGAAAATGGCGCCAGCCAGAAATCTAAATTCGGCGAGATCACGGGTTTCAATTTCCGACATCAAATAGTCGGTTGTCGTTGTGCGATAACAGTCGCCATTGACGGTTACGCTCTCATCATACCAAACCGTTGCTTTGTTTTTGGATGAAATAACAGCTCTTGAATCTCTTCATGTTACTTTTAGCAACAAATGCGTCAATTTAGCTTGTTTACAAACCCATTGAGCTGGAAATAGGCAGCTTTGCTGAATAAAATTTCGCTTCAGTTCTTGCCTAGGTTGTTCCTTACGTTAGTTTGAGTTGCTAAAAACGTTGCCGAATCGACTCTCCACGATCTTCGTGAATACTCTCAGCTACGGCGGCTATATTTCCATCACTGCGGTATTTCAGTAGAATATTATCCAATGATGCATTCATCATGGGTCTCAAAATGGGGGATGGTGTAGCAAATAGTACTCCAAATGGGCAACATACCATTAGTTGACCTAAGTGATCGAAATTCTTTACAGAACGAGAATTTTCATAATAAAATAAAGTTGAACGATTTGTAAACGTTTTTCAAGTGAAAATTTATGACATGACAGCTTGACAAAATTCATGAGTGATGTCAAATACCATACATCGATGTTTTGGAGATGTTTAATTCCATTTCCATGAATTTCAATCATGATTTTGGCTGATTTTTGATGAATTCACGGTTCGATGGAATTTCCACGACGGAATGATCACGCATTTTGATTGGCCCACATTTTATGTCATCACGACTACATTGAAAACGTTGAAACCACTCGTGCATTCTGCTACGGGATAGGTAATCATAGCGATATACTTGTTTCATCAATTGAAACGTTTCGGTAAAAGTTTTACCAATTTTAAAACAAAATTTAATGAAGGCTCTTGGTTCGAAGCTCATTTTCGCACCGATAACACAAATATACTGGCACTTAAAACGCAATAACTTCACTACCAATCTATTAAATGTCTGAAATTGTCATCGAACAATCGGGCAATCGATAAAGATAGCATATTCTAAGACACCAGTCGACATATAGATAGCGCCACCACTTTGAAATACACCTTGTATATATATCCTTCACTCACTTCTCTATAAAACATTCTTATTGACAACGCAGTGCACTTTATGAAGTCTCAACACCTTTTGATTTTATTACTATATAATATATTTTAATATATGTACATACATTTGAGTATATATGTATGTATATGTCAGTWTGTGATACTTGGTTAAGTTAGTGATTTTTAGCACATAATGCATTCAATTAAGTAATTTTCGGTCAAATTTCAATTGGTTTATTTCAAAATTATATATTTATTGATTTAGCTACGTACATACATATACATACATACTTTTTGAAAATGCCGTCATTTCCCAAGTCTCCCAGTATAACTCCAGGTGCCGCGAATTGCGCTTTGTTTATGCGACTGCAAAGCCTCCACTATAAAAACAACAACAATCAGCGATTATTCGATTGCAATTTACTGCGGTTACGCCGACATAATTTGATTATTTGCGTCCGCTTGGCCAATGCTCCAAATTAGCGCGCAGCTTTATGCAACCAAACACACACACACAGCGACAAATTTATTTAAATGATGGACCAAATATAGTTTCGCTAATCAAATTCAGTTAATTACGCGCACAATATTGACCACAAAATACCAAATGCATTCCCGTGTTTATTGGCACGTTTTTATGAAAATCTGCATGCGGTTTCGCTTATCCCGTCGAGGCAGCGAAAATCATAGCATTAAGGCGGGCGTCGACTAAGTGCTTTAGCTTTAAACGATTGTTTATGTAGTGTTGAAAAGAAATTGTTGAACAATTAGTGATTATTTTTGAGGTTTATAACAAGGCTTTATTTTTTCTACGACAGTGTATCCGCACGTGTGGATTATATAACGGTATGCCTGAAATGTCGAGTGGTCTCTAAACAGTGAAACAGTGAAAAGGKTGCCTTACACAAATCTCATCACGATGGGAATGAAATGTGGTTACCCTATATACATTCCTTTGGGTTTCGTAGTAGCTATGATCTTTGCGAGAGCTTAGTAAGCATTAGTCAGAAATCAGTACTCTAGGAGGTTGCGAAAGCCAGCCGATAGGTCTCCTAACTGGACACTGTGCCATTGACACACATTCGTTGACGCTAAAGATTTTGGAGAATGGAACTAGACAAGGAGGGAGTTGAAACATATTGAAATTATCTCCTTCACTTTTAACTTTCGCCAGATTAAAGTTGAAGCATCTTGGTTGTTCTTTCTCTAAGAACGCAGCAAAGTGACTGGGGTAAATATTAGCTGCCTCAATAAGTTTGTGGCTAGGCGACGTGTTGTGTTGAGACGGTCTGTTTGATCCATACTAAAGGCAAGCGCCTCTAGCTATTCAAGTGAAACTATTCCTGGCGTCACGAAAAATCAGCATTTTTGCCTAACCTAACCAAACATAAACCTTCCATTACAGACATTCTGAAGTTTGTTTTCGTTTCGAAGAAAGTCACATTTTTTTAGAAAATTTTATTTTACCAATCGAAGTAATGGCTATCAAGGTTCWTAGATCGATTATAGTGATCAACTGAGCTCTGCAATACTGCTTGTATTTCCACTTTTCAATTATTTCAAACTATGATTCGGTTTTACCGATTTCTTTCAGCAACTATTCTACTGAGATCTGATTGAAAGACATTCTCGCTGGGGTYAGATTTGGAGTACACATTGTCGGTATGTCTAATATCTTTGTCTACTATGTATCAGCTATCTTGTTGAACCTCATTTTGTGATCATGCAAAATCATTTTCATGATTTTTGACATTTTCTTCATAGTAGTCTCTTTTGAATGTTCACAGTGTTCATCGTTTTCTGTAAGCCATTTCGAATTTAGAAATCCGCTAACACAAATTGGTTATCTCGCCTGAAGCGCAGCCCTTATCCCCATTTTTTCGAGAGCGGCCTAGTTTTGGTAAATCATTCACTAGATTGTTGGCTAGTKTTGACATCACATTCATAAGCGTCAAAATGTGTTTAGTCGATCCATAAGAGATGYTAAGATACACTGCMATCGTGCTGAWATCAAYACGACTATTTTCARTCACCATTTCTTTAAMTTTTAGGAGTTCTAACTGSATATTGTTCGATCGGGATTCTTGCAGGAGCATTGAACATCTTACCTGATGTTTGGSAGAAGATAAAATATAATAATCTAACACTTTCTTATCGAATAGCTAATCTTTGTCAGATCAAAGAAACAATATCTTGGATCTCATATGGATATCTAAGAAAAATAGCGGATATAGAAATAAAACACCTAAAGGGACTTGCGATAAATTCAGGGCATTWTAGCCGATAGCTAGATAGAGAACGGCACATTACAGTCTTATTGTGATCTCTCGCCGAGGGATCAGCCATCTAACCTAACCTAACCATACCTTCTCTACTTCTACCTTCTTCTAGACGAACCACTGACGCGTGGCAAGTTCTGGACAACTTCACGGTTCTCACAAATATTCAAATACTTAAAAGACTTTTGCAAAATGTTCAATGATTCCAAAGCCGTCAAGCAAGCTCATTGTTCAATTTCTTACCTTGGTAAAAGTGCTAGACAAACACATACACTAATTGACACAAGGAAATCAAACTTCGCATATGGCTTAAGCAGCTCACGACTTCCGGTCGAGGATACTCTGAGTAGCCAAATAACATTCAATTAAAGGCGATTGTGACCCACTACGTAAAAACACAACCCGAAAGAAAAGGATACAACAACCACAGATGAGAGACTCTCCTTTTGATGATGACCACTGCAAACATATCACCATAAAACTAATGTGGCTTTTGAAAATGACGTTGAGCAAACGCCAAGACCTCCGTCAAAATCGGTAAGGATTTTTCGGAGCCGTTCGATAGCAAAAGAGGTTTCAGACAAGGCTRCAAAACTAAATAGAAAAGGTACCATCTTCTATAAGAGTGTACAGCTGCTGACTTCGCCGATGATATTGATATAATTTTCGTTAATAACTGCGCTATTAACTCCACATACTCTAGAATGGATAAGGAAACGAACATTAAACAAACAGTCATCGCGACGTGACTCCTACATCTTTGTAGACAGCTATAACTTGGAAGTCGTAGATAACTCTTGCGAACAGGTGCTCCTCGAACTGAGTAGGCAATTAAGAAGAAAATACCTCTCTAGATGAACAACGATCAAATTCCACAAGTCACTCATGCAAACATTTGGATRATGACAAAATCGAATGGGTCGGTGTTACGAGTTTTCGAGAGAGGTTCTGCAGAAGATTTATGGACATTTGCCATTGGCAACGACGAATATMGMAATCGATRGAACCKCTATTMGGACTACAAAATTAATACTGGTACAAACTTATTCCCACGAATCGATGAAACTAACAAATAATAATTTTGATATTTAAAATGTGGCACTCAGAAAAATGTGAAACGATTTCAGCTAAAAAAGCTGAATGCACTTAAAGAACCGCTAACGAATATTTGTATAGTTAACTTAAAATATTCGTTATCGGAGCAAAATTAKAACAAAGCGTTTAACCGAGTTAAATTAATAATATGTATTACAGCTTAATAGCTTAATTTTGACTTTTAGTCACAAAATCATTTCCACCCATATCTCTTCCACCTTGTTTGCTCATATACTCACAATATTAACCRCCTAATCTCGTCGCAAACTAATGGTCAAGGGTTATCGCGCTGAGCTTCGAGTACMGCTTGAGCTTACAGCAGCTGAAGCTTTTTGTCGCCTTCACGATTTCAGTAGCAAAYGGAATATCAGCGAGATTAGTGAGCTAACGTAGTTCTTGCAGAACTGAAATCTATTATTTTATTCTAACATATCAACAACAACAACTTCTACCTCAAAAAACAAACAACATGCGTGGTTTATCRCTCTTGCACTTGGCCTTGGCTATTTTACTCTGTGTGCTTGTCGCAAATAAGCCCGCACTGGCACTACGCATCAATGTCCGTACTACAACACCGGCAACTRCAACGGCAACAACAATAGCTAATACTGAGGCAACTAGCACACCAACTTATCGACCCATCATTATCAACAACAACATACCAAACATCGATGCCAGCTGCATGGTACGCTATAAGTGTATCGCGAAATTGAAGGGCATAACAGTGGCGCCCAGACCTTGTACTAAATACTGTGTGAAATTCATTGARTGTCCGAATGCAGCGAAGGTTGCCGGTTCGGCAGGTCAGTGCTTCGAGCTGGATGAGGCSGCACTACGCCAAAAATATGAGGGTGCAACGAAGCAGGGCAGTACAGTGCCGCTAATGGAGGTGGCTATGATAGATTTCCCTTGCCGTCCTGGKTTTCTGCCAGATGACTTAGGCCGCTGCCGTGAAGTATGGTGAAACGTTTTGCCCAGTGTTTGTTTGAACTTTGTTAATGTTCCCAAAATAAAGCCTTGATATGTTTTCGCGGTGAAAAATTAACAGTTTTGTTTTAATTTTGAATCGATGTGCATACAAATGAGCATAACAGATAATTTTCTGCTTCTTGTTGTTCGTCAACAGGTTGGTTGAGTCTTATCGCGTCTACATATTCTAACAAGCTAAACGTTCGAAAAACTCAAACGAAATGAAAAATTCTTTTTATAGAAAAAGGGAGGACAGAAATTGATTAAATCGAAAAATAGTGCGAAATTGTCTAAAAACTACAGAATGTATAAACCTTGAAATATAGTCATTAAAACTTATATACTTTTGAAATTTCGAAAGAATAAATAAGAGTTGCTCTGAGGTAAACAGAAATTTTGAGTAAAATAGTGGACAGTTTACTAAGCAAAAATCTATCGATCTCACTCTGCTATTGTATTTACTCAACAGTCTTATTTTCTGCGTTTTTTCTGTGCCATAATGATATGAGGRAAACCTTTCAAGGAAGGAAGTCGAACTGAGCAGATTTTAGATGTATTAGCTTCACACTAACACACTACACAGAGCAAATCCAATGTGCCTTGGACAATTACTTATTCCAAATTTCTTGAAGATATATTCTCAAATAAAAAATATTTAATTATTCTCAGTTTCTTGGGAAGAAAAAAGTATGTGCAAARTTTCAGATCGTTATCACTGAAACTGATAAACTAGCTCCCGCACATATAGAAGGCATTGCAGAATCAACTAAGCTCAACATTTTGATCAATTACTTTATATAGTATCTATATTTTCGACTTCGTYCGAAACGGAATACCCCTTGTTTAAAGTATAAGTATAATAGCAATGCTTATATGGTGACCAACCATGTATACTAAACGGATGAACGTTATACTGAGTATTCCTCTAGTCAGACCGATTGATCTGACGATTTCTTTTTTTTTTCTGAAATGTCTTTTAACCATAAAGCAGTTCCGACAATATCAACTGAGAAGAAGAGAGAAGAAAACAACAAAATTTTGACTTGGAACAATACCAAATTATCCGAAATCTCCGTTTGGGTGATAATGTTGAGACAAGTTGTCATCAAGGTCATCTATTGGTAGGAACGTGCTGTTTCGACGGGGTCGGAGCATAGGGAGAGGGGTGTCAGATGTGTAGGGTTAGCTGGGCTTACAAAGAAGTGGTTAAGGCCATGCGGGGTTAATGGCTCCACAGTGAATGGCTGTCAGTGCATGTCTGAAAATAATTGCATCCGAAGTCTGGTCGGCGTACCATATTGTTCGGAGAAACGGTTTCGACGATTCAGAGCTAGTGAAAACGACACCACGGATATGCCAGCTGGCGGAAGACCTGTGACGACGAATGCAGATCAAATTATGGAAAACATCGAGTTAGACCGACATTTGGCATCCCGTGACATCGCCCAGAAGATGGAAGTTAGTCACCAAACCATTTTAAACCGTCTGCAGAAGGATGAATACACATTTTTGATGTGGATGGTGATTGGCGACAATAAATGGATCACATACGACAATATCAAGTGAAAGAGGTGGTGATCGAAGGCCGATGAATCGTCCCAAACAGTAGCCATGTCGGGATTGAAGGCCGGTAAGGTTTTGCTGTGTGCTTAGTGGGATCGGAAGGGAATCATCCACTATGCGCTGAGCTGTAGAAGCAAGCAATCGACGAATAGTGTTTGAACCAAATCCGATCACTGTAACACTTTTTATAAAGCATTGAAAAAAGAGCAAAAAACATAGCGGAAGGGAGATATTTATGTTTCCAAGTAGGTTTGTTGGGTTAGCTTTCTGATGCATTCAGTATGAAAGGAATTGAAAGTCATGATTATCAAACGTTTAGTATAATACCGAAATTCTTTAATGATATGAATTTCAAATGATCAAATTATTAAAAAAAATGGCGCACAAGAATATCTAATAGATTAAAAAATATTGAAACTAATCCTGGAACTAGACAAATACATTTTGTAATGTAATTAAAAGTTGTAATGGAATTAAAAAATTTTAACATCGAAAAATTCTGACCAGATGAAGGCTGGCCTTCTTCGCTAAAGATCAAAATATATTTACGTGGTAATTATACCTCATGAACTCCGATTGGCTAGGTGAGAAAATGAAACTCTAGTCTACTGTACTTGATAAATAACTTCACCCATGAAGACATATAGTATACAGTCAGATTTTCAGCAAAAGCTCTTTGTACATGTATTACGGTGAACTGAAAAAAAAACGATTATTTTTTCGTTTGGAGGTTCGGAAAGTTAGTTCAGAGACATCTCTAAGTAAAKGTCTCCAAATATGAGCTCTTGATTATTATAACGAAAGGTACCTCCACCTTAGAGTTTTCTATTGGTTTCCTTATTATCAAATAGTAAGAATCAAATCTCGCTCCCAACACTTGAAAATATATGTATCTCGTTTCATAGATCCGAAGAGTTGTTCCATTATATGAAATTCTCAGTTAGATACGTATGTTGTCTTTTATATTTCGGGATCGTAAAGTTTGATATTTTTTCATGTTATATATGTTTTAAAATACAAAAGCATGGATTAACACCGTACTTGCTGCCAGACGTCCTTCAAGAAATCAGGAAAACCCATCGCCGAAGACGGCTGATGCGTGTCGTGGTAAAAACAATGCTTGGCGTAGAGTTATTAAATTGAAAGCGTACAAAATACAGATTGTGCAAGAAATGCTTGAACGAGTCATTGAAAATGGAACTCAACGGATAGACCATTTGAAACGTAGACGCGGCCAACACTTGAACAGGATAATCTGTAAAAAATAAAAGCGGCAGAATGTTCTTTCGAATGATGATAAATATTCCTCATTAAATTAGAAATTTCCGTGTTTTTTCTTTAAAAAAGTAAAGATCATCGAAATGGATCACCCTTTATATGAAATAAAAGTTCTATGTTCAAACAAAGCACCTTCTTTGTCACTTGTGAATTCGAAATTCTGCTATTAGATCATAATGTAATCGTCTGGTGAACGCTGTGCGCAGCAAAAGCTTTTAAYTTCACTAACTTCACCAGCTATTAATCCATTAACTGAATGATTACATAATTACCGGAAGGATCTGCAAACAACAAACAAGAWAGAAGCCACGTTTCATTTACATCTAATGTGTTCTTTTATTCATGTATTTATTCATCATTTATACATACATATATATTTATATATATATACATATACCGTATATAGTATATAGCTTAAGGTTTTTATCCGTAATCATGCTTACTTACACATACACATACATATTTATGCCATAATAGTATTAATTATAATAATAACACAATAATTTTAATATTTAAATGTAATTACTTGACTCACTTCGTTTTGTTCTTATTAAGTAATTAATTAAATCTGTTTTCATTACATTTAATCAATCATTTCTGTATGTTTGCGTGTATGCGTTACAATACAATATAGCTAAGACAACAACTTTGGTTCATTTGTTTTGTTGCTGCAAATGCGCATTTATATACATAACTTTATATTGTATATAATGTTGCATTTTTTTATTTACTTATAAAATACAGTAATTACGCGCCACATAATTATGCAAATGTTAGTGTAATTATATTTCACCGCGTGTGTGTTATTACTCGGCTTTTTTCGGGTGGGGTCTCAGTGTGTATAAAGGGGGAGTGTGCATGTGTGTGTGTTTTTAAAAATGTATACGCGTCTATTTCACGTCAAAATTAATGTTGATAATTTAAATAAATTTTATTTACAGTTTGTTTGGTTTTGTTGTAGTGTAAGTTAAGTCAGTGCTGAATGAAATAAATGGCAAAATACGAAAACAAAGAGCAGATTATAATTAAAATAATTTTTGTTTTACTTTGCTTCATTAAATTCTATGTTTTC